ATTAGAGGTGCAGTTCTTAATAAGATAGATAGGACTGTTTTATTTTCAATTAATTATGCCCCAAGTTAGAGCACCAATTTTATTCCTGTTTTTCATTCTTAGAAATATTACCATCAAGAAAACTTCACAAAAATAAGAGGATTGGAATGGACGAGTTATTTGAACTTATTCATAATTTTGTAATAAATTATCTTATAATCATCAAAATTTTGCATTCATAATCCATCAGCTAGCACTTCAATTAAGGACTCCTTAAGTGTTATGGAAAGTGTTGTATTAGAAATAACCTGCCCTAGCCAGTTTGGCTCAGTGGATAGAGCATCAGCCTGTGGCTGGAGAGTCCCGGGTTTGATTCCAGTCAAGGGCACATGCCCGGGTTGCAGGCTCAATCCCCAATAGGGACCATGAAGAAGGCAGCTGATCAATGATTCTCTCCCATCATTGATGTTTCTGTCTCTCTCCCTCTCCCTTCTTCTCTAAAATATATATATATATAGTTTTGTTTTTTTTTTAAAAAAAAGAAAGAAAGAACCTGACCTACAAAATGGTTTGGTACCCAGTTACAAAAAACATTCAATTCTGCAAATTCTGGGAGGTTTGTTAAGAATTTCTACTAAGCCCTGGATGGTTTGGCTCAGTGGATAGTGTCTGACTGAGGGTCCTGGGTTCAATTCTGGTTTAGGGCATATGCCCTGGTTGTGGGCTCAATCCCCAGTGGGGAGTGTGCAGGAGGCAGCCAATCAATGATTCTCTCTCATCATTGAGGTCTCTATCTCTCCCTTTCCTTTCCCTTCAATAAAAATATATTTTTTAAAAAAAGAATTTTTACTAAAATTTATCAAACAACTACCTCTGTTACCTTTTCTTTCTTTTTAAATATATTTTAATGATTTTTTACAGAGAGGAAGGGAGAGAGATAGAGAGTTAGAAACATCAATCAGCTGCCTCCTGCACACCTCCTACTGGGGATGTGCTCACAACCAAGGTACATGCCCTTGACCAGAATTAAACCTGGGACCTTTCAGTCCACAGGCCAATGTTCTATCCACTGAGCCAAACCAGTTAGGGCCTTGTTACCTTTTCATTAGAGGTGTCTTTCTTACTCTGAAAATGAAAATATTAGTCTCAATATACTTTTGCCAATACATTATTATCAAAAACATGCTTTTATTATATTTTTTCCATCCTCACTGAGGATATGTTTATTGATTTGAGAGAGAGAGAGAGAGGAAGCGGAAGAGAGAAACATCAACATGAGAGAAACAGCAAGCGGCTGTCTCTGGTACACATCCCAACCAAGGATCAAACCTGAAACCTAGGTATGTGCGCTGACAGGAATTGAACCCACAACCTTTTGGTGTACAGGACAACACTCCAATCAACTGAACCATCTGGCCAGGGTAAAAATGCTTTTATTTTAACATATTTTAAATAGTATTTTGTCAGAAGTTTGGAGCTGCTGAGTTGGCTCATTTAACTTACAGGAAATACTTCCCATACAAACTGGAAAAGACAGTCCTGGTTGTCAAATCAATCAGCTAAATCAGACTTGAATTCTTTTTCTTTGACCTCAAATAACTCATCCATTGACCTCTTCCAGTCTGCCCCTACCCCCCACCCCAGCCAGGCCTTCACCACCCTATTGTCTTTGTCCATGGGTTATGCATATATGCATACAAGTTCATTGGTTGATCTGTTCCCACCCATCCTCCTCTGCCTTCCCTCTGAGGTTCCACAGTCTGCTCATTCTTCTATGTCTCTAGGTCTATTTTTGCTCATCAGTTTATGTTGTTCATTAGATTCCACGTATGAGTGAGATTATGTGATACTTGTCTTTCTCAGACTGGCTTATTTTGCTTAGCATAATACTCTCCATGTCCATCCATGCTGTTGCAAATGATAAAAATTCTTTTTTTACAGCTGCGTAGTATTCCATTGTGTAAATGTACCACACTTTTTTTGTTTGTTTGTTTTTTAAATTGTTTTATTGCTTAAAGTATTACAAAGAGTATTATATATATGTCTCCTTTTTTCTCCCCTTAACCTTCCCCTAGCCTACCATGCCTCCCAGTGTCTTGTGTCCATTGGTTAGCTTATATACATGCATACAAGTCCTTTGGTTGTCTTAACCATGCCCCCAGACCTCCCCGGCCTTCCCACTGTAGTTTGACAGTCAGTTCGATGTTGCTCTGCCTCTGTTTCTATTTTTGTTCTTCACTTTATAATGGTCTTAATTATCCATAAATGAGTGAGATCATGTGGTATTTTTCTTTCATTGACTAGCTTATTTCACTTGGCATAATGCT